TTTTAGGGTATTAGAGAAAACAGGTCTACAGGAAAAGTAGTTTCCCTTGTTAGTAAAGTATCCTTTTTGTCTGAATATTTGTGAGATTTCAAAATTGTCCTTGAAATTACCAAATTTTTATCAGAACATACTTGGGTATGTGTTTTTAATCAGTTCTATCTGGACTTTGTGAATCTTTTCCATTTCTATGCCTATTTTCAAAACAAATTAAATCTCTCTTTTTGCTCCCCTCTATCTTTTTCCCATAGTATTCCTTTTGTCTCTGTCGGCATCTTGTTCTGTTCTCTGATTCTTATTTTTTCTTCCATAGTTTCTTTCTTTGCATACATTTATACAGTGCCTAGGGCTAGTGTCCTGAGATTCACTGGAGCCAAATTTGAGCCAGATTTGAAACAGGCTTTATTACATATTAAATACTGACCAAGAGACGGACTTTGGTCAGGACCATTCCCTGAAATTTCCCAGGTGAGAAACGTGCTACAGGTATTTATAAGGGCAAACCTATTGGACACTATACTTTCCCATGAGGCTTTCTTATTTTCTAAGAATTACAATTCCAAGTAATCCAGAAAGTTACCTGGTTCTTGGGCAAGTGGTGCTTACAGGTTAATTTGGGGCATTACATCCTCCCCAAACCCCGCCCCTGCAGGGTTGCATATAGGATCTGACCCTGTGATAGGTATTTGTTTTTGTGGATTTAATAACTTTCAGCTTAATGGCATTTCAATTGGCTTATTTTTTCTTCTATGCCAGGGAGTTCCCTTTTGATTTAGCATTTTAGCCTGTTAGGTAGCAAGGGACAAAGTATTCTCTCATGTAACTATTTCTGTCGGACATTAGGACATTGTTGCCAAGGCCCAGGAAGGCTGGGAGGTTAGTCAAAGGCTGAACAATGGACCATTTATGAAAAGCATCTGATTAGCTGATCCAGCTGAAGAGACAGGGAGCAATCATATTGGCTGGACTGGTTTATATCAGCTTTCAGCAAATCCAGAGCTCAGCAGTTTGCAGCCTGCAGGTGATCCATGGATGGAGTCTATCAGCCAAATAAAAATATAATACAAATATAGACTAAGAACAGAAGTTAAAATTTCCTAGTAATTAGGGAAGGGGAGGAAGCCAAAGGCCAGGAGAATTTTTCATTCTCAGGAACAGACAGGTGGGGAAACTTAGGCTGTACTTAGCTGGAATCCATTTGACCTGTCTTATGATTTCTTTGACTCCTAGAAGTTTATATGAATTTTTAGTTTATCAAAGGAGATATATTGGTATTACCATTGTATTGAAATCCACATTGTAGAAAAGCAGTAAACTCATGTCTATAGAAAACAGGAGTAGACTCACACCTTTGAATCTTAGCAAAAACTATAGTTTTAGGTTTAAAAGCATGAACATTTTTCTCTGTCCAGAGAGCCTGTCATATAGATTGAACAGGGATTGTTTAGCCCCATGAAAGGAATCCCTAAGTCTCTATTTAGAAGACAGTCAAAGAAAACTCAAAATCCTTAGCTTATTACTGAGTAGTAAGCCATGAGTGTGCCATCATATCGTGAACCTCTGAAATCTTAGTGGCTAGGTGATTACAGGGGCTTTTTGTTTTGTTTTGGTATGTTTGTTTGTTTTTTACAAAATAGAAAAAGGATTTCGAGAATAATATGAAAGGAATAAGGAAAAATGACTGAAAAGTGTGCTTCCTTGGAGTCATCATCTAGCCAAGACCTACAAACATTAGTCCCATGATCATATGTGGTCATTGATGCTTTGTTTCAAAGCACCTTTCAAAATCTTGTACAGCCAGCATATTATAGGTTGGCAAAATTAACAAATGTCTTCTTGTATCAGCACCAAATTGTACTATCTTGATATTCACCTGAACTACATTCTACATGGTACTATGTTATTTCTACCACATAACAGAATAATTCTTTGTCCTTTCCCCTAAATCAAAAGGAAAAAGGATGATGAGATCTGCTTAGAATGCTTAGTTCAGTGCAATCCTTCTTCCATGCTCACCTAATCAGTTCAACTTTAAAAATAATTTTACAGATTTTTTTTTTATCATGGATTCTGCCTTCAGTAAACACATGAGTACTTTTGTACATCTAACTGAAGAACTGAAAATAGTTCCTATATTGGTAGGCAGAACCTCCCACAAAGCACTTTGCAAATTTTTATTTTCCTTAGGCAGTTACTTCTGAGATCCAAAACACCAGTGATTGAAGCAGGAAAATGACCTGCCTCGCCATTTGGACCTTTCACATATACTCTATAATGTACTTAAATCTCAACCTAGGACTGCCTCCAGTCTTAAAAAAAAAAAAGTCTGGCATCCTAAAAGTGCTTTGCCAGAATTTTGGATAAATGACAACTAACCTTTCCTAGAAACTCAGATGTTCTGGTTACTATTCCTAGTGTTTTTTGTTTGTTTGTTTGTTTGTTTGTTTGTTTTTGTTTTTTACGTTGCAACATTCATTATGGTAGTTGCTGTATTATTATTAGTTTATAGATGGAAAACTGAGGCAAAAGAGGTTTACCAACTTGTCTAAGAGTTTTAACATTTAGCAAGTAGTAGCGCCAGGATTTAAGCTCGGGCAGGCTCAATCCATTTGGCATCGCTAACATTCCTGCCCCCTCCCTTATCAAGTAGTTCATTAAGGTAACAGGATATCTAGCTTTACAGGCATGGGAGATTTGGGAAACACATTCAGTCACAGTAAAAGACAAATTTCTATTCAAGTGGCTGTAAGCAAAGGAGGAATTTGGGGGAGGTTATAGCATTATCTGGTGGAAGGAATAAGCCAAACCTAGAAAATCAGAAGCCAAGCTTACCCTCTTTTCAGATGTCTGTGCCAGATCTTCATCAAACAGAAGGTAAACACTACTTTCTTCCACAAGTAACAAGTTCTCAGAAAAGGACAGTATGAACTAGATATAACACATACCTTGGAGGGGCCTGGTACACTTACTTGCCCTCTTTGCTGAAAGGAAGTGCTTATCCTCAATCTCCAGTATTTATTCTGTCCCTTTACTTTTTAATTAAATTTTTATTTTTATATTAATTACAGTTTATTTACTTTGTATCCCAGCTGTAGCCCCTTCCCTCATTCCCTCCCTATCCCACCCTCCCTCCCTCATCTCCTCCCTGCCCCTCTCTAAGTCCACTGATAGGGGAGGTCCTCCTCTCCTTCCATCTGACCCTAGCTTATCAGGTCTCTTCAGGGCTGCCTGCAATGTCCTCCTCTGTGGCCTAGTAAGGCTGCTCCTCCCTCGGGGGAATGAGGGGAAGCCAGCCATTGAGTTCATGTCAGAAACAGTCCCTGTTCCCCTTACTAGGGCACCCACTTGGATACTGAGTTCCCATGGGCTACATCTGAGCAGGGGTTCTAGGTTATATCCATGCATGGTCCTTGATTAGGGAAACAGTCTCAGAAAAGACCCCTGTGCCCAAATATATTTGGTCCTTGTGGAGCTCCTGTCCTCTCCAGGTCATACTAACTCCCCCTTCTTTCCTATGATTCCCTGCACTCTGCCCAAAGTTTGGTTATGAGTCTCAGTATCTGCTTTGATACAATGCTAGGTAGAGTCTTTCAGAGGCCTTCTCTCCTGTTACTTGTTTTCTCCTACTTCCAATGTCCATCCCATTTGTCTTTCTAAGTGAAGATTGATCATCTTACCCAGGGTCCTCTTTCTTGTTTATCTTCTTTAAGTGTACAGATTTTAGTATGTTTATCCTCTTACAGGTCTAGTATCCACTTATAAGTGAGTATATACTTTGTGTGTTTTTCTGCTTCTGGGATACCAAACTCAGGATGATCTTTTCTAAATCCTACCATTTGCCTGCAAATTTCATGATTTCCTTGTTTTTAATTGCTGAGTAGTATTCCATTGTGTAAATGTACCACAATTTCTGTATCCATTTCTCCGTTGAGGGACATCAGGGTGGTTTCCAGCTTCTGGCTATTATGAATAAAGCTTCTACAAACATGACTGAGCAAATGTCCTTGTTGTGTACTTGAGCCTCTTTTGGATATATGCCTAGAAGTGGTATAGCTGGATCTTGAGGAAGCACTATTCCTAATTGTCTGAGAAAGCACCAGATTGATTTCCAAAGTGGTAGTTCATACAGCTTTTCTTCTTTTTTCTATCCTTTCTTTTCCCAAATAAACTCCTATTGGCTCTTCATAGACCTTGGGGTTCCCCCTTCCACTTCCTGTTTGAAAGACTTCACATTTTCAAGCTTGAGGAACTTCTAAAATCATCGTATCCTACCTCATCATTTCTGTTAAGTCCTTCTTCACTCTAGCCAGGCCATTATCTACCTGATCTGGCTTAGTTGCTCTTCCAAGGCTCTTGCCAGCGCAATTTCTTTTGTTTATAAAGCTACCTTTCCCATTTTTTTTTTTCTGCCTGACAGAATCTAGCTTATTTTTAAAGGCTCCAAGTCACTTGCTTTAAAGATTCTTTGTTCGTTTGTTATTCGGGTTTTCTTTTTAAGACAAGATTTCACTGTGCAGCCTAAGCTGGCCTCAGACTTACAGTGATCCTCCTGCTTCAACTTCCTAAATGCTAGAATAACAGGCATGAACCACATCTGATTTTCTCTAAAGGGTCTTATGTGATCTTGTCAACACCTAGGGTGGTTAACTATACTTTTATTCCCAGGAGTTCTAAGGACATGTGACTTTCAGTACATGGGATATTTGTAGGCAAACTAAAATAATTAAGATATCCTACAGCATCCACTATCTCCCCTTTCTACTGCATAGTTTGAACAAAAAGCCCTGTGAAAGTACCAGTAGCCACTACTTCAGCATTTTACAAGGTTCTTTTTCTACATTAATACTTGTACACTCTTAATTGTAGAGACCCATTTTACTCCCACTTCACACAGAACACATTATTATGCTTATGATAATGTAAACTCAGGATTTATAAAGTAGTTTTCAGTTAGCACTGCATATTCCCTTTGTATGTTAACAGACTTATCTTTTTTATTCCAGCCCAGATGACTTACTCAATGCCTTGAACGAGGGTATCAGCCGCGCTGATGTCATCATCACGTCAGGAGGTGTATCCATGGGGGAAAAGGTATGGAAAGATAGAGTTCATGAGGTTTAGTCACTTTGGTCTACTATTGTGTTCTGATAGTGTTTTGACTTGATTTCTGTCTCTGTGATAGAATACTCTGACCCAAAGCAGCATAGAGCAGCAAAGAATTAATTGGCTTACACCTCCAGGTCCATCATTAAGGGGCATGAAGGCAGGAACTTCAGCAGGAACCATGAAGGAATGCTGCTTGCTGGCTCGCTTGCAGGATCATGTTTAGCTAGCTTCCTTATCTAGCCCAGGACCACATATCAAGAGGACAGTACCACCATGTAGGTGGAACCTCCTGCATCAATTAATAGTTAACACCATTCCTCACAGAAATGCCCACAGTCCTACCTGATTAAGACAACTGAGACTCCTTTTTCAGGTAGTTCTAGGCTGTCTCAAGTTGATAGTTAACACTAACTAGAAAGCTGAAATCATGAAATGAAGGCTTCAGAAAGTGGATCTTTCTTAAAAAGATGCCATGAAATTAGTCAGGATGCTTACATCAGGAACAGCCTAGAAAATACCACAAGTTGTAGAGCACTTTTTTGCTCATTCCTTGGAGACATTTGTTTTTCACTTAGTTTTACATTAGGACTTCCTTTATATGTTGTATTTATGCCCAAGATAAAGATCCACCTTTTTTCAATTTGAACATGACCTCACAGAGAGGCAACCCTCTCACCTACCATATATTCTAAATCTTATCAGAATTCTTCAGCTTCCCCTCCCAATAATAGGAAACAAAGGATGGGGTTCCTGTCACCTTCTTTACAGAACTCATAAATGATAATTGCAATGAAAATATATATACATAGGTATTTTGTACATAGTATATCATAATCCTATATTAATCTCAGACTGAGCATTGAAATATCACTACATTTGTATGTCTTAATGAATATTAGCTTATTATTATTAGACCCATTGAATAATGTTATTAAAGTAAAATATTCCTGGCTATAATAATCAAATTTATGTTTTGTCTCAAAAATATTTTAGAAATGTTTTGCCAGTCTATTCTTTCATAAATTTTCTTGTATCTCATAGTAATGACTTAAATGGAAAAGAGTGTAGTAATAATGTCATCATAATAGTTTTATCAAAATTCATATTTTCTTTTGAGGCAAGCTTTCATATAATCCGGCCTAGCCTTGTACTTGCTGCATAGCTAAGGATTACCTTGAATTTCTGGTCCTTCTGCTTCCAGCTCTAGAGTGATAGACACATGTGCTACCATGCCTGATTTTAAAATTCATATTTTCTAGGATATAAGGATATATATAATACATGTAATTATATATATGATCTTGGACCCTGCTCCCTTCAGCTATGTAATGACCTAAACTTACAACATGACCCTGGTCTATGAATTCTGTTGTCTCTGAGAACAAATTCAGTAACCTCAACAGAAAACACCTGCATTTCCATTCACAACTTCAGTTTTAGACTCTTTGAGACCAGAGTTTTAACTTCCAAAAACTATAAAAGAAAAAGAGTCTCAGTCTAAGACTATTCTTTCAAACTGTCTCTAGAAGGGAAGTGTTAACAGTGTGGCTAGTACTCTTGCTACACAAAAGTAGCTTTGTAAGTCTTTCCCAAAGTCTCCCAGAAGCCTTACCACCAGATAAAGCATATCATATAGACATCTCATGAAATCCAAAGGCTGGGTTTGGAATTTGTACTGTGGGAGCACTATCAGAAATGATTTGTATCATGTTTTCATTATCAGGTTGCTGTCAGTATCACAAGAGTGCACCCTGAAGAAAGGGCGCTTAAGATTAAATGTATTTCCCGGATTAATTTAAACAGAATTTACCTTAGTTTCTAAGGAGCTAATTGTGGAATAATGCCACTGCAAACCTGAAGTTTGTCTTTTCTGGTACCTCTAGAGAGGCAGATAATACACACAGGCATGACAGTTGTAGCTATAATGCTGTAAGTGTATGATGTACTCTTCTGAATCTACTCTATTAGTGCTAGCAAAGATGTCAGCTGTCTTCTTCAGCAGGCTAGTTAAATAAGCAATGATGAGAAACAGAAAAAGTAGACTTACACAGCTTGACCACACTGAGAAGAATAAATAAGTCCAGTTACCTCCCAGCCACAAGTCTATCTTCAGGATCCTGACAGGAAGTGGCCCACTCATCACTGACCCATTATTAATTCAATTCCAGTCTCCCCTGCAAGGTGGTCTGGCAAGTTGTCAGAACTGTGTGAATTCTGTTTTGGGAAGACAACTTCATAGAAGTTTTAATCCAGCTGTGATGGCATATGCTTCTAATCCTAGCTCTTTGAGGCTAAATCAGAAAAACTGACTTTGAGACCATACTGAGGAATGGTTCATCTTTCCTCTGATAGTAAAATTACAAAGATTTTATCTGTCAAATCTCTAGAGTTCATGTAAAGCAAACTGTGTTAGTCACTTTTTATCACTTTCATAAAATACCTGATATAAACAATGTAAGGGAGAAAGGCTTTGTTGTAGCTGTTGTTTTCAGGGGTGTCAGTCCATCATGGCAGAGACGTCCTGATGACACACAACAGCTCACATCAGGGAGGCCAGGAAGCCCAGAGACCAGCACACAATTCAGTCTTCTCCTTTTCCCCTTTTATTCTTTCTGATGGTATTCAGTGTCAAAGCACAGTTGTCTCACATAGTGAGTCCTTTGTGGAGACTCCTCACAGATACTCCCAAAGGTGTGCTTGACTAATCTAGGCATTGATCAGTCCAATCAAATTGATGTAAGGCTTAATTAACTGTCACAGTTTCTGTGTATTTGTCACAGTATTTGTGTTAATACCAGTTTCCCTGTGGGAATCTAACCTCAGGACAACTGAGCATCTCTTAGACAAGGCAGCTTCTCCCATGAAAGTCTTAAAAGAACAGCACATCAAACAAGCCTAACTATTTCTATCTTTTATAAGAAGCAAGAACTCACCTGTGGTCTCCTAGCAACTTTGGAGATAATTTTAAATGTAAATACATTCTAAAATGTTCTTTCTTTTAAACTTGAGTCTGAATTTTAGGCTAAAAAATTACCTAATTTTTCAAACCAACAGAAAAAACTTTAAAAATAAGAGAACAGGGTTGGAGAAGAGTCTGTGTATGTATTAGAGCACTGGCTACTCTTCCAGAGGACCCAGGTTTGGTTCACAGCACCTATATGGTGACACACAAAAATCTGGAACTATAGTTCCAGAGGCTCTCATGCCCTCTTCTGGCCTCCACAGGCATGAGGTACATAAATATACATGTAGACAAGACACTGATACACCTAAAATATCAATTAATATTTTTACTATGCTTATAAATAACAAGTTTGGGACAGGTTTTACTCACTCATAAGTAAATGATCTTTGTTCTTTTTTTGTGTGTGTGTGTTTCTTTAATCAGAACCAAAGTAAGTATAAACGCTACCAGGAAGATTATCTGAAAATAATTTTCATGTTGTAGGAAAACATTAATATCAAAGACACATGGCTTGGGGAGAAGCTCAGTCAGTAACGTGCTTGTAACATAGGCATGAGGACCTGAATTCAGGTCTCCAGAACACAAGAACAAGTGCCAGCAGCAAGCTGCACCAGGTGTGGAAGTGGAGACAAGATAGGATCCCAAACCAGTTAGCTCCAGGTTCAGTGATAAAATCACTTAAAAACTGAGGTGGAAAGGGTCAATGAGATGGCTCAACATGTAAGAATGCTTGCTTCCGTGCCTAGTGAGGCAATTTGAGTCTTAGAATACACATAGTGGAAGAATAGAACCAATCCCCAGGAGTTGTCCTCTGACCTGCACATGGGCTCCTTAGCATGATCACACACACATCCACTCATGCTTTTGTTCTTTCTCCCTTTCCTCTCCTCACTTCCCCTTTCTTCTCCTTCTATCCCCCTTCCTTTCCATCTTCTCCTCTCCGCTTCCCTCCCCTACATAATTCTCTTTAAAAAGGTGGAGAGCAATTGAGGGAGATATCTAAAGTCAACCTCTGGCTGCACATGCAAGAGCACTACACACACACACACACACATACACACAGACACCATAGTAACTTCACTGAGTTAACTAAAATTCAGTTCTACCTAAAGCTTTGTTTAGACATAGTTTTTATAAAACACGGCAAATGAAAGTCACTTCTAAAGTTTTGAGCTCTCCATAACATATAAAAATAAGCAAGCTACATTCTTAAAAATTTGTTCACTATAGTTAGGAATCAGTGGTTTAGTATTACATCTTACATAGAAATTACCTAAGTATCTGGCAATTATTCACTAGTTAACTTACTATCTGTTCAAGATTTTAGATTATTTAGTTACCTTGAAAAATTACTTTCAAAATTCTATAAATCCACTGTCTTTCCTCAAGATTTTGCATGCCGGGATCCCCCTGACCGTCAGGGTTCAACTAATACATCACCACCTCTTCTGCCTCTGCTAGTTCTCTCGCCTACCTTCCTAGTCCTCCTGCAGAGCCTGGTTGTTTCCATCGTAGCGTGTACCACAGATGGCATTTATTTTCTTAATCTACTCGTGGGGAGGGCTGCTTTCATCTAGTTAAATATGTAATCTAGTCTGCTTGGATCAAGGTCCTGTTTGACCATTATATTCTCGGCACACAGAATTCGTGATACTTAGTATAGTAGCATCTGCTGGTAACTCCACCAGAGCCTGAGACCTGTCTTCAATTCAAAGCCAACCTGGACTACATAAATACATCAAAAGACCTTTTCTCAAAAAAAGAAAAAAAAAATCACAAATCTCCAGGGTGTTGTTGGGGCAGGAGATATGACACAAAAGATCAAGAAGCCAAGCTTAAAACAGTAACTGAGAAGCTAATGAACTAAGGAAATTTTTCATAATTCTTTAAGCATCCAAGGTTTAACTGGGCACACTTTTAACCAATCACTTCGGAAGCAGAGGCAGACATATATATCTCTGTGAGTTTCGGGTCAGCCTAGTTTATATAGCAAGTTACATATCAGCCAGGGCTGTATGGTGAGACCCTGTCTCCAAAAAGAAAGGAAAGAAGAAAAGGAAGATAAGAATTAAAAGTTTTCCATGGAGGAATTATCTGGAAAATATCTCAGGCATTGTTCTTCTTCAAGACAAAAAAAAAAAAAAAATCAAGCCTTTAAAGGAACTGAAATCAGTATAAAATTATTTCAGTCCCTGGATAAGCAGGACAATCTGAGTTTACCTCAAGTGAACACTAAAAGAAAACAAAAACTTTTCTGTAGAAATATGTCATTATCCAGAGCTTTCTAGCAAAATGACTTAAAATTGAGAAAAGAAATTTTTATGAAAGAGCCCTAGAAGTGACATTGATATTTGTATTTCTCACATGTATCTCTAGAAACTGTTACATATTTGAGAAAAAGTAACAAAAATGAGAACTTTAGAAATTGAAATCCATGAGTTAAAAAAAAAAAACTAGAAAATATGGAAGTGGATGAAACAAATATGATAAAGTATCTTAGCAAAAAAAGTTAGAGAAAGTGAGCATAAGCTATATTTTAGAGATACTGGTAGTGTGTGTGTGTGTGTGTGTGTGTGTGTGTGTGTGTGTGTGTGTGTGTGTGTGTGTGTTTGCGTTTCTGCACACACTTGAACTATCTTTTTTTGTTGTTTGTTTCTTTGTTTGTTTGTTTCTTTGTTAGATAAGGTATCTCACTGAACCTGAAGCTGACCAGTTTAACTAGGTTAAAAAAATGTTTAACTAGTCCAAAAACTCCAAGGATCTACCTTTCTCTGCATCCTTTGGGATAGAATTAGAAGTATATACCACTGAGCCTGGCTTTCTGGGTGGGTGCTGGGAATATAAACTCAGTTCCTCAAGCTTGCATAGCAGTCAATTTACTGCCTGAACTATCTCCCAGCCCTGACAAAGAATTTTTAAAACGAGTAAAAGACAACAAGCCAGTACTTGCCAGGAGCTCTGCTAGTCAAAACTGGGATAACTGCAAAGAAACCACACCTGGGTAGTCCTGAAAAAGTACTGAAAATAGTAACAATGAACAATCCCACCAGAGTACTTTACCACGACATAAAATAAAACTAACAGAAATTACATAAATTTAAGTGAGAGAATCCAGAAAAAAATAAAATTGCATTTCCAAAGTTCAAAGAAATGTACTGCTAATGTGGAACTTATATCCAGAAAAATATTCCTTTGAAAATGAAGGTAAGAGAAACACCTACTTTAGTCAGTGTTTACCATGTAGGCATAAGAATTAACTGAAGACACAAAGAGTTGTTAAAGAGTGCTAGAAAACACAGGACTTTTGTTAATAAAAAATCAAGGCTTTGTCCAAAAACAAATATACTTAAGTATTAGAAAATGAGTTGGAACTGAGTGGTTTAAAAGGCGCACACCTTTTGATCCCCGCAGAGATTAAAGAGGGAGGCAGAGCCAGGTGGGTATCTGAATTCAAGGCTAGCCTGGTTACAGAGCAAGTTCTAGGATAGCCAGGGCTACACAGAAAAGCCCTGCCTCACCAAAACCAAACAAAAGCAACACAAAACAAAACAACAAAAGCAAAACAAAACCCTGCCTTCCCCCCAAGCAAAAGAAGAAAGAATGGAAAGAAGACTGAAAGAGAGCTGGTCTGTTGTATCTCAAAGGATCTTGCTCCCGCAGGGATGAGTATAATGGCATTGCTAGTGTGTGCTTGACCAACCAGGAGCTGCCTCAGCCTCCCCAGAAACCATCGGTTGTTGATAGTTTCTCGGAGGCAGGTTCATGAATCATTTCCCACTGTCATAAACTGTTGATTGGCTTGATCTCAAGAGTTCAGGTCTTACACAGGCTACAACACCTGTGAGTTCATGAGTGCATCAAGCCTGTTATGTACAGAAGACATTGTATCACTCTGCCCTTCCTGACTCTGACTCTCACTTTTTCAACCCCCTCTTCTGCAATGGTCCCTGAGCCCTAGGAAAGGGATTTAATATAGACAGTCTATCTGTTGCTGAGCATTTACACATCTTTCCTGCACTTTGACCAGTTTTGAGTTTTTGTGTTGACTGAACAAAGAAATTTCTTTAATGAGGCCTGATAGTTGCACTAACCTATGAGAAATATGAAGTTAGATGACAGTTTAATATAGTGGTAACTTAGCAGAATGATAATACTAGGTTCATTCTGGGACCTGTAAGCTCCCCAGCTGTGGATGGTTGGCCAGATTTATAGTACCAGGAATTTGTTTCCTTGTGTAGGACATGGGTTAAATCTTTTTAGTCAGAGAACAGTTTGTTACCCCATAACATTTGTACAACTATTATAACCATGGGCATATCTTGCCACACCAAGCCCAACTTTTTAAGACTTCTTTATTATGCCTTTCATGGTCATAAAATTTTATCTCAGAGACAAAAAAATCAAATAAAAACAGTATTATGGCTATTCTAGTTATTATCTGCCATCCTCTACTAGACTATAATTTTCTTTGTATGTGTATGTGTGTGTGTGTGTGTGTGTGTGTGTGTGTGTGTGTGTGTGTGTGTTTAAGACAAAGTGTTACTAAACAAACAAAATGTTACTATCTAGCCCAGGCTGTCCTTGAAATTGTGATGCTTTTACCTCCTCCTCTCAAGTACTGGGATCACAGGTTTTATGGCACCACCTCTGGTATCTTAATATACTTTCTAGAAAGGCAGGGAAACTGTCTCTTTTATTTGGGTTATATCCCCGTTAGCCTCAATTGATACTTTACATACACAAACCACCCCCAAAATAATTATTAAATGAGTAAATGAATGAATAAGGAATGAATAGTTGAGTTAAGCATATCAGCTTCATTAAATTGGCAAAGATATTTTTTCAATCATAAATTAATTTTATTTTCATTTATATGTTAAAAGTCTGATACTAAAATGCTTGAAAATAAATAACTTTTTTTAATATTTGCAGGACTATCTCAAGCAGGTGCTGGACATTGATCTTCATGCTCAGATCCATTTTGGCAGGGTTTTTATGAAGCCAGGGTATGGAAATAATTTTATCTAATATATTAGGTTACTTTGGGTTTCTTTAACTAATCAAGTTTTAAATGCTTGGTCTTTATACTTTTTATTAAGTGTTACTCATTTTAATAAGGAAAATATTTTAGTGCTAGAATGCTTCTCATTTGTACAGTTCCAGTTTGAAATAAGATTTCTTCTTATGAATCCAAGAGTTTGGTAAAAGCAAAGCAAAGAAATTTTCTAATTTTGTTTCCTTTTTAATTACCATGTTTAGTGCCTTTCCCTCTCTTTCTCCCTACACCTTCATTTTTTCTTAAAATATTTTAGCATAAAAATTATCAAATATATAGGAAAGTAGAAAAATAATGAACCCAAACATATGTCTATTACTGAAGTCGGTAACTACTAGCATGTTTTTATATTTACCTCATCAATTCCCTAACATCTTGGGGAAGGGAGACTAGATTGTTTTAAAGCTAATTCTAGACATCATGTCATTTTGATAAATCATAAGAACAAGAATTAATGCATTGTCTGATGTTAATTATCTTATCAAACAAAATAATTTTTCATATTATCTAATATCTAAAATGTCAAGAGGAGAATGCTTTTTTAATAATTGCTCTAATTTAGGATTTAAGGAAAGTCTATTCATTGCACTTAATGATTAAATCTCTATTAAATATTTATTTCTTCCTGAACCTTTGTAGTTAGATTTGGGATCTAAGAGTGTTAGTGGTGGTGGTTATCTTGGTGTTTTCTGGTTTGGGTTTTTATTTTTGCCATTGACTTGTTGGAGAAACTGTCTCACTCTTCCTGTGTAGTAGATAGGGTGATTGCCTCCTTGGGTTATATGGAGCACGTTTCTCTGTTATCTGTAAAGACTTAGATTCAGACTCCTTCACATAAGTACTTCATAACGTATTTAGCATTGCTTCCCATTCTATCCAAGAAGAAAGTAAAATAACCATACAGGAAGATTTTCACATTTCCTGAAACTAGTAACTCTTAAGAAAGAACTGGTGGGGTCCTACAATTATAAATTTAAAATGCCCAATAGTAGTGTTAATGAAACACATATGATCTTCAAGCAATAAAGCTGCCATCCCTGATCCTCCCTGCTCCTATTACTTAGTAAACCTCTGATTACCTGTTCAGATCTCAGTGTCTGGGAGAGTGTTTTGGCACATGTCCAGGATGTCACAGAAAACAGTGATGATGCTTTAGCTCAGGATTCTACTCTGATAGGGGCTCATATGAACTATGAGAAAGAGTAGCGTGGGAACTTAACATTGTTGTAAGTCAAATACCAGTGTGCTCTCTTAACGCCCCCGAGGCTTGTTAGCACTGGGTTTCAGGTCTAGGATAAGGATTAGGCTTTACCCTCATAATTTAGCCTCACTTAGTTCAAAGCTAAGAAGAATAGCTCAGCCATTAAGGGCCCAGGCTGTTCTTGCAGAGGACCTACGTTCAGTTCCCAATATCTACATGGTAGTTCACAACCATCTGCAACTCTGATTCCAGGAGAATTCAACACCCTGTTCTGGCCTCTGCAGACACAAGGTGTGCCCATGATGCACAGACATATGTAAGCAAACACTCATACACATAGAGTAAAATAAATCTTTAAAAAACACAATTATCCCTATGGTGTTCTCCTCAATTTCATAGGATTCTTGGCAGTATATATCTGTACATGATTATTGAATGTGCCCCAATATATCTATTACTGGAAAAGCCTTCTTGTTATTGAAACTCTGGGTTTTGATGCCAGAATAACAATTTGGGCTGGGTGGTGGTCGCACACCTTTAATCCCAGCGCTTGGGAAGCAGAAGCAGGTGAATCTCCAAGTTGAAGGCTAGCCTGATCTTCAGGCTGAGTTCCAGGACAGCCAGGGCTACACAGAGAAACCCTGTCTCCAAAAACAAAACAAGCAAAAAAAAAAGTTAAATATCATTTTGGGCCAGGAAGATGGCTCAGGAGGTAAAAGCACTTGCCAGCAAGCCTGATGATCAGAGTCCAATCACCAGAACCCATACGGTGGAAGGGTAGAGAGAGCACTGAGCTCTGCAGTTGTCCTCTCACTTCCACATACATGCTGTCATGCACATGCACAGGCACAAAATAATTCAATAACAGCCTGTCATATGCTAATGTATGCTGAGCCTTTACCCTGTCCTTTTGGACGGTAGAGATTGATTAGAGCACAGAATATATCCTCAAAGCAAGTCAGTGAACTTCTCATATGTAGATTTGATTTTGTTTCCTTTGTAGGAAAGGAAGCTGATATAACTTATTTCCAGCTATGGAGAATTACTTGCGTGATATCTGTGATGTTAAACACAGCTTGTGGTGGTGACTTTTGTGGTCGTTAGTTCATTGTTTACCACTCTCAACTTAAGGAGTGCTTCACTGACTTGTGTTTCTTCTCCCCTAAAATCCGTTCACTTTGGGACCTCAGTCAGTACATAAATGCTGTTAATTCTGATTTTGGATTGCACAGTATGTGTTGAATTCTAAGAAAATGGCTTTCCAGAAGTAACATACTTCCAGCAACAAGATACTTGTGATAGTAATGCCTGACTATGAAATGTTCTGTTGTAAATATGATTTTTAAGGGAGTGCCTTTGGAGAAAAGGCACTTTTCTTTGGGTGTAAAAGAAAATTTAAAGTGTCCTTATACCTGATATTGGCCTTAAACACAATAGTCCATGAGCTACTTTGCTACAGCAAACTGACTTAGTCATTTAAGTGGACTTCCTTTAACTGCTCAGATCTTAAAGTTACCTAAATGTAAGAAGGACTTATAGGTAATTTGTTGTATTTGCTGGTGGAACAAAAAGAAACAAAATCAATTAAGTTAGCTTTGCCCGTTTCTATATACAGCACATTCCAAATATAATTATGTATTTGGTTTTAAAGAAAAATATACTCCAGCAACTGGTTACATGGCTCAGTCAGTAAAGTGCTTGCCACACAAGAAAGGTGACCTGAGTTGAGAGACCCAGCACCACATCAGTTGCTGGTAGGAAGCAGAGACAGGCTCTCAATATCCTGTAGCTCACTAGCTGTCAGCAAACTCCAGACATCCCCCTGTCTCAAAAACTAGGTCACACACACACACACACCTACCTTAAAAATATAAAGGAAAAGATACTTAGCAAAGCATAATTAGATCCGACGTGGGTCATCTATAGCAAGTGTAGATGTTCTCAAGAATTCATCTGGGATTTTTTTTTATTACTTATTTGTCAAATGGTAATAACTGTTGCAGTTTCCTACCTATAATCTGATCTTGGTCTAGTGCAGAGCAAAGAATTAGGGAGTTAAAAAACAATCAAACAGAGGTCCCAAAGTCCAAGTACTAACTCTATTGTAGACTATCCCATGCTGATTTTATCTAACATGAACCTTAAAGTTAACAACCTTGGTTCAAAGTCTTTATTTTTACAAAATCATAGTAGCTAAGTGAGATAAAGCCAAATTTTTAATATCTCTGAGTTTCAGTTTTCTCATCTACCAGATACTATGGCAAATGTCATCTTTTGCTATTGCTATGATACTTAAATGAAATAATGAGTATGATACATAAATGTTACTAATGTTAATGTTAATAATAACTGACACTATCATTATTGATGATATCACTCTACAAATATGGAAAAAAAGAAGTGAGAAGCACAGGAACATAGCACCTTGAAGTTACACTTTAAAAAAATAATCCAATGTTCTTATGATTGGAATCGGACATTATTGTATTATAACAGATTAAGGTAGCTATAAGTCATCCAAAATGTTACTGTTACTATATCATAGTAAACAGTAATGAGTGAATGAGCTGGTTTTGTTTGGTTGGTTAGTTTTGATTTTTGGAGACAAGGTTTCTCTGTGTAGGCTTGGTTGTCCTGGAACTAGCTTTATAGACCAGGCTGGCCTCAAACTCAGAGATCTACCTGTCTCTGCCTCCAGACTGCTGAGATTAAAGGCAAGCACCACCACTGCCTGGCTGAATGTTCTGTTTTTAAAATCAACCCAAGAAGCCAGTGAGATGGATTAGCAGGTAAAAGTACTTGCTGCCAAGCCTCACAACCTAAGTTTGATTCCTGGAGCCCATATAGGTGAAGAAGAGAAAGGACTCACAAAAGCGGTCCTCTGGCTTCCGTACATGAGTTCTGACACATGCATACTCCACAGTAAATAAAAAAAAAAAAAAAAAAAAAAAAAAACACGTTAAGATCAACATGCAAAAATGGACCAAAAGATAAAATCATAATTTAGCGTATAAAATAATTAATTTTTGCCTCTTGGGAAGTTTTAGTGTTCCCTGAGAAGTTTGCATCACTCAGGTTTGATTCATTCATAAATTTTATAGCCAAAACGCTATGTGACAATAGAAAATAGAAAAAAAAATTCAATTATCAACTGCCTGCTACATACCATGTACCCCTCTCATATTTCCCATGGATGTTTATGTCAGAATCTTTTTTAAAAAGTAAATTACAGTTTATTCACTTTGTATCCCAGGTGTAGACACCTTGCTAATCCCCTCCCTCCCTCATCTCCTTCCATGCCTCTCTCGAAGTCCAGTGATAGGGGAGGTCCTCCTTCCCTTCCATCTGACCCTAGGCTATCAGGTCTCCTCAGGACTAACTACATTGTCTTCCTCTATGGCCTGTTAAAGCTTCTCCTCCTTCATGGGGAGGTGATCAAAGAGCCAGCCTCTGAGTTCATGTCAGAAACAGCCCCTGTTCCCATTGCTAGGGAACCCACTTGGACACTGAATTGCCATGGACTACATCTGTGCAGGGGTTCTAGGTTATCCCTGTACATGGTCCTTGGTTGTAGTATGAGTCTCAGAAAAGACCCCTGGACCCAGAATTTTTTGGTTCTGTTGCTCTCCTTGTGGGGCTCCTGTTCCCTCCAGGTCTTCTTATTTCCCCCCTTCTTTCATAAGATTCCCTGCACTCTGCCCAAAGTTTGGCTATGAGTCTCAGCGTCTGCTTTGTTACACTGCTAGGTTTAGTCTTTCAGAGGCCCTCTGTGGTAGGCTCCTGTCCTGTTACTTGTTTTCTCCTATTTCCAATGTCCATCCCATTTGTCTTTCTAAGTGAAGATTGATCATCTTACCCAGGGTCCTCTTTCTTGTTTATCTTCTTTAGATGTACAGATTTTAGTATGTTTACCCTATATTATATGTCTAATATCCACTTATAAGTGAGTATATACCATGTGTGTCTTTCTGCTTCTAGGATACCTCACTCAGGATGATCTTTTCTAGCTCCCACCATTTGCCTGCAAATTTCATTATTTCCTTGTTTTTAATCACTGAGTAGTATTCCATTGTATAAATATACCACAATTTCTGTATGCATTCCTCAGTTGAGGAGCATCTAGGTTGTTTCCAGATTCTGGCTATTACAAGTAAAGCTGCTATGAACATGATTGAGCAAATGTCTTTGTTACATACTTGGGCATGTTTTGAAGCATGCCTAGGAGTGCTGTAGCTGGATCTTCAGTAAGCACTATTCTTTTTGGGTTTTTTTTGTTTTGTTTTGTTTTCCATTGTTTCTTTTTTAAATTTTTTTAAAATTTTTATTAATTACAGTTTATTCACTTTGTTTCTGAGCTGTAGCCCCTCCTCCATCCTCTCCCAACCCCACCCTCCCTCCTCCTCCTTCTCCTATGCCCCTCCCCCAGTCCAATGATAGGGGAGGTCCTCCTCCCCTTCCATCTGAACCTAGTCTATCAGGTCTCATCAAGACTGGCTTCTTTGTCTTCCTCTGTGTCCTAGTAAGGCTGCTCCCTCCTCAGGTGGAGGTGATCAAAGAGCCAGCCCATGAGTTCATGTCAGAGACAGTCCCTGTTCCTATTATTGGGGAACCCTCTTGGACACTGAGCTGCCATGGGCTACTTCTGTGCAGGGGTTCTAAGTTATCTCCATGCATGAACCTTGTTTGGAGTATCAGTCTCAGAAAAGATCCCTGAGGAAGTACTATTCTTTTTTATCATAAATTTTTAAATTTATTTTTATTAATTACAGTTTATTCACTTTGTATTTCCCCCTGTAGCTCCCTCCCTCCTCCACTCTCAATCCCACCTTTCCTCCCCCTTCTCCACCCATGCCCCTCCCCTAGTCCACTGATAGGGGAAGTCTTCCTCCCCTTCCTTCTGATCCTGGTCTATTAGGTCTCATCAGGAGTGGCTACATTGTCTTCCTCTGTGGCCTGTTAAGACTGCTCCTCCCTTAGGGGGAGGTGATCAAAGAGCAGGCCAATCAGTTCATGTCAGAGACAGTCCCTGTTCCCATTAATATGGAACCCAATTGGACACTGAACTGCCATGGGCAACATCTGTGCAGTGGTTCTAGATTAATTCCATGATGTCCTTGGTTGGAGTATCAGTCTCAGAAAAGACCCTGAAAAATAAATCTGGGAATTATTCCTAATTGTCTGAGAAGGCATCAGATTGATTTCCAAAGTAGTTGTACAAGTTTACATTCCTACCAGCAATGGAGGAGGGTTCCCCTTTCTCCACATCCTCTCCAGCATATGTTTTCACTTGAGTTTTTGATCTTAGTCATTCTGATAGGTATAAGGTGAAATCTCAGGGTCGTTTTGATTTGCATTTCCCTGATGACTAAGATGGTTGAGCATTTCTTTAAGTGTTTCTTGGCCATTCGATATTCCTCTATTGAAAATTCTGTTTAGCTCTGTACCCATTTTTTAATTGGCTTACTTGGCTTGTTGTGGTTTAACTTCTTGAGTTCTTTATATATTCTGGATATTAGCTCTCTGTCAGATGTAGGGTTGGTAAAGATCTTTTCCCAGTCTATAAGCTGTCGTTTGTCCTTTGCTTTACAGAAGATTTTCAGTTTTATGAGGTCCCATTTATTGATTGTTGATCTTAGAGCCTCTGCTGTTGGTGTTCTGTTCAGGAAGTTGTCTCCTGTGCCAATGAGTTCAAGGCTCTTCCCCACTTTTTCTTTTAGAAGGTTTAGTGTGTCTGGTTTTATGTTGAGGTCTTTGATTCACTTGGACTTTAGTTTTGTTCAGGGTAATAAATATGGATCTATTTGCATTTTTCTACATATAGACATCCAGTTAGACTGGCACTATTTACTAAAGATGCTGTCTTTTTTCCATTGTATGGTTTTGGCTTCTTTGTCAAAAATCAAGCATCTGTAGGTGTGTGGGTTTACTTCTGGGTCTTCTATTCGATTCCATTGATCCACCATTCTGTTTCTATGCCAGTACAATGCAGTTTTTATTACTATTGCTCTGTAGTACAGCTTGAGATCAGGGATGAAGTTATGTCAGAATCTTGAGAAGGGTGCTTTAACTTTGTTCCAGCTATGGAATTTTATTTTTCTATAATTCAAAAGCATCTTATTAAGTGAATATTTCTGAGCATCATTTTTAAAAGATAAGAGAGGCTGAAGAGATGCCTCTGTGGTTAGGAGCACTGGCTGCTCTTACAGGGACTTGGGATCAGTTGTCAGCATGCACATGGTCCCTCACAAATAGCTCTATCTTCAGCTCCAGAGGATCCAGTGCACTCTTCTGCCTCCTGAGTCACTCGTGTGCATGGTGCATATGCATACATGCAGTAAAGCACTCATACACATTAAGATCAAAAACATTCATCTTGAGCAAAACACTTAGAAATACTTTATCAGGTAGTATTTTAATAAGAAGAGGACTGTTTTAAATCTCCAACAAAAATACTATAAACATCATTGAGTACAGGGCTGGGGACATTTGGAAACATCAGAATTTAGAATGTGTTACTATGATCCTGACAAAAGATGGAAGGTACAGAAAACTGGGAACTTTGGATACTTGAAAACAGATAGTACTCAAGCAGTTGATTTCAGAGGAGGAAGGTTTAAAGACAAGTCAACAGAAGAGTGTTTTTCTATGGTAAGTGAATCACTGAACAAGAAAAGTAAAGCACTCCAGTTACTGCTTCTGTTACTTAATAATCACAAATAAGGACGCTCTTTTTGTTTCTAGCTTGCCAACAACATTTGCAACTTTGGATATTGATGGTGTAAGAAAAATTATTTTTGCACTACCAGGTAAGAATCATTAAAATTATTTTTTCCTTTTTCTAGAAAAATGACCAAAAAGTTTTGGGGCTTCTCAGGTGGCCAGCCTATAATCCTCATAACTTGATTTTTAATCAGAATGGCAAATCACTTACCTTCTCTGGGGCTGGTTCTTGACCTGTATGATGGAGCCAATACCTATCAAACCAGAATATTCTTCCAGGACATAGTCCTTACCTAAAATGATAACAGTGTATAAGTGGGAGATCTAGGTACCTCTCAAAACTAGAAGTATTGTCAAACATTAAAATAGTAGATCACATATCATAGCCAGGTATGGCAATGCGCACCTCTAGTTGTAGCCTCAGGTGGCTACGGCAGGAAGATCATGAAATGAGGCCAGACTGGGCTACATAGCAAGACCTTGTTTCAATGCAGACAAACACAACAGTGCTTCTGATCTTGTAAAATTAGGGGTGATTAGGGCCTGGGCAGACAGGGACACAGGTTTACTGACCCTATACATCTCAACCAACATTCATACATCACCAGTCTGACACCAGCATCACCACCTAATTCCCACGCAGAAACTCACGTGTTCAGACTGTAGCAAAACCAAGGTGATCCAGCTTCCAAGAATTTGTTAACTTAATTTTTATTACTTTCAGCCATGTATCTTAAGTCTATGAATCTTGATAAATTTTAAAGTGATTTAGAATTTTATGTATCTACTTGTTGTTTTGGGGGGTAGGGTTTTTTGTTTGGTTGGTTGGTTTGTTTTGTTTTACTTTTAAAAGTATCCTTTAATGATGCCTATAGTTCCACCTCTGGGGAGGCTGAGGCAGGAGGATCACCACAGGTTCAACTACTACATAGTAAATTCCAAGCCAGCCTTGGCTCTAAAAAGTTAAGACCTAGTCTTAAAAAATAAAATCATGTAATATTTGTGGTCAAGTTCTCATTTTGTTAACACCAATTCTTTCAGAAAAGTAACTACTTATCCTTTCAGACTCACAAATCTCATGGTCTTCAGAGATTTATTTGCTTTTCATATTCAGTAAAACTCAAAATAGGATTATTTTAAAAAGCAGGCAGTCTTAACATTTTAAACTCTATCCTAAGCATAAAAATAGACTTGTGTCATAAAGAAAATATTAAGATAATAGGAAAGTAAAGCAACCTTAACATGTATCTGTGGCATACAACTACACCTAGGACCTTTTATATTCCCTATGATGCTCTGAAAACCATTATATGGCTCTGTTACACAGAGAAATCCTGCCTGAAGAAAAAGAGAGAGAGAAATGAACTACTCTTCTAGCTTCATTTTTATCTACTAAAAGAGAATATTTTCTCTATAGGTGTGAATTAATATACAAATTTGAACCTCTGCTCAGACATAGCCCATGGTAGCTCAGTATCCAAGTGGGTTCCCTAGTAAGGGGGACAGGAACTGTTTCTGACATGAACTCATGAGTTTCCTCTCCCCACTGAGGGAGGAGCAGCCTTGCTAGGCCACAGATAAGGACATTGCAACCATCCTGAAGATACCTGATAAGCTAGGGCCAGACGGAAGGAGTCCATCTCAGTCCCTCTCAGTGGACTCGGAAGGGGGCAGGGAGGAGATGAGGGAGGGAGGAGAGCGTTGGGAGGGAAAGAGGGAGAGGGCTACAGCTGGGATACAAGTGAATGTATAAAATTATTTTAATATATATATATTAAGAAAACATACAAATTTTACCATCGTGATACTAGAACACAGATTATTATTACAGGAACCCATTTCTCATGAAATATCAATGTTGCCTCAGGGAATAAAGATATGCTCAGTCCTGATGTGACTTGATGTGCTGGGGGAAGGTTAATCGGGGCAGAGGAGGATCCTCTTTTCTGGGATAAAAGTGACAGGGGAAGGGGGGATGGAGAGGAGGGAAGGAAGGAGGCACCCTTGGGATGTAAAATAAATGAATATAAAATTTAAAAAAGAAAAGAAACTACAATATTAAAAGCCTTCTTCAAATCTCTGATTTTATTTGGAATTCCTTGTGTTGAGCTGGAATGAACCAAAAGAGGGCAGCAACAACTCACACGTCCAGATCCTATGCATAGCAAAAGTGGTCTACTTAGAAGGATATTCCATTTCTAGAGTGAATTTCTGCTTTATTGAAGGCCACATACTCAAAGATCTTCACTAGTATTAACAAGTTATAGCCAGTGTAATAGTTGCACATATTGTAATTTTTTTTAACTTTTTAAACTATGTGTTCAATATAAAAATGTGGAAAATTGAGCTCACAAAATGGCTCAGTGCATCAAGGCACCTACAACAAGCCTGATAACCAAGTTCAATCCCCTGAACACACATTGTAGAGAGAGAAAGAACCAACTCCCACAAGTTGTCCTGTGTGACCTTCACATGCGTGCTATGGCATGCTGGCACACACAGTCTCTCTCTTTCTCTGTCTCTCTAAAATAAATAAAATTAAAATTAAACCTTCTCTATAAAAACTTAGAAAATATATATATAATTAAAGAAATGTTATTTATTATCATAACTACCACTCAGAAACCACCACCATTTACTAATTATTAATCATCCCTATTATTTTTCTTCTATAGAACAACTCATTTTAAAAAATTATAGCTGGTAAGATGGCTCAGCAGATAAAGGCATATGCTGCCAACCTGACAACCTAATTTCAATCCCTAGTACCCACATGGTGGAGGGAGAGAACCAGCTCCTGCAGCGTGTTCTCTGACTGCTATGTGCACATCAGGACATGCATGCACATGTGTGCTCGCTCACACACACGCACACGTACACACACACACTGAATGAATATAAATAAATGTAATTTTAATTCTAGAAATTAAGTATTATAGCAATTTTACTATCATTTGGTAATATATTTTGAAATAATGGAAAAGTAATACTCACGGAGAATCTGCTATCAAGCTGGAGAGACGGCTCAGTGGTCAAGAGCACTGCTGCTATTGCAAATGACAGTTTGATTTCCAGCACCCACACTGGACAGTTCACAGCCTACTCTAAGGATCCAATGACCTCTTCTGGCACCTGCTACATGTAACATACACACATGCATATACATATGCATGCACACAGAAATTAAAAAAAAAAAAAAGGAAAATCCACCGTCAGTGGAGTATACTGGAACAGGCCATAATCCAAGCACTTGGAAAGCTGAAGTAGATCACTACAAGTTCAAAGACAGTTAGGCTCTTGGAAAAGAGCCTGTATCAAGGTTGGGGGGAGGGGTTGCTGTTCTACTGGGTACCTCATTTGTCTATTGAAGTTATTAGCATCACTTTTAACTACGATTTTTTTAAAAAGTTCACCTCAACATAAATAGTTTTAACTTTCCAACTCAAAGACATCTACTAGTTGATTATTTTAAAATACAAACTCCTAGTCTAGAGAGATGGCTCGGCAGTTAAGAGCCCTTGCTGCTCTACCAAAGAACCTGAACTTAGTTCCTAGCACCCATGTGAGGTGATCCAATGCCCTTTTACGACCTCTTCTGGTATTTACAAGCACATGGCCTGCACATTAATTTACATTTTAAAAGACTAAAGTTTTTCTTTTTTAATACAAGATGCAACTGTTTGTTGTCTGTCTGCAAGAATCACACTTTAAGATGCACAGAGATTTAAAGTGAAAGAATAGAGTATAATACACCAAGCAAACTGAAGGTAAGGGCAAGCAAGAATACTTGCAGCATTATGAGACAAAGTATTATAGTAAACATCAAGCCACAATCAGACAAAGAGATAAAGGAAATAAGTATATGTGAATAAAGAGAACAATCCATAAATAAGACATAATGAGATTATGAACACATTTACACCAAAGGTTGATGCATAGTTTCATAAAACAAACACTCTTGGCCATAAAGAAACAGATGAATCTAGATATATTATTGACTTCAATCTTATCAATAGACAAGTCATCGAGACAAAAGTCAGCAAAGAAACTTTAAAGGCAAACTGTACCACAGATCAAATGGAAGTAGCAGACATCGATAGACTATCCAATCCAGTGGCAGAGAACACATTCTTCTCAGCACTGCAGGGAATGTTTTCCAAAATAGTATGCATATTAAGTCATAATGCAAATTTTAACAAATTTAAAAATTAAAATAACTTACTCTTTCATATCCTAGTAGAATAAAACTTGAAATAAACAGTAAGAGAAACTATACAGATATAACAAAACTGGACAGTATATCCTTGACTGATCAATGGATTATTGAAGAAATACAGTATTAAAATCAAGTAAAATTGAAAACGTGACTTTCTAGACTTTTAGAATACAACAAAGGTGCTTCTGAGGAAGATGTTTCTAGATATTAAGTTCTTAAATTTAAACAAATATCAGATGATGGCTTCAACTAAAAAACTTAATGATATTTCTCAAAACCTTAGGAGGACAAAAACAAGCCAGACCCAGAATCAAGAATAAAAATACACACAGAAAGAATCAGCTTTAGCTGGGAGGTAGTGGAATACGCCTTTACACCCACCACTCAGTGGGGAGAGGCAGGTAGATCTCTGAGTTTGAGGCTAGCCTGGTCTTCAGAGTGAGATCCAGGACAGCCAAGGCAACATAGAGAAATCCTGTCTCAATAATAATAATAATAATAATAATAATAACAACAACAACAACAAATGGTACTTTGAAAACATAAATATAATTTTCAAACTTTTAGCCAGCTAACCAGAAAAAAGACCCAAAATATTAAAACTATGGATGAAAACAGACATTTCTAAACAGATGCCAGTGAAATCCAGAAGATCACTAAGGAAAAATGTGAAAACTTGCATTCTAGCAACTGTCTAAATAGATATAGAAAAGGCCTTTAGCAAAGTTCCAGCCATTTTAAGGAAAACCATGAAGAAACTAGGAAGAAGGAAAATATGTCAACATTTAACATATCTGTAGCCAACATTGTACTAAGTGGGATAAAGCTAAAGTTAAATCCAGAATGAGTCGAGGTACCCATTCGTAATCG